ATTGGATGGGCACTTACCATGTCTTTCTATCACTTCTTTCTTTCCTTTTGATGAAATTGAAGATTGAAAATGGGAAGTGAGAGGCCTCTCTTGACTTCTTCCTCAAGCAAAGGCTGCTGTTAATCTTATGCCGTGTGATGCTTGGGAAGAAGAAGAAGAAGAGAAGATAGGAGAGGGTGAGCAGAAGTAACGTGATTCTTTCTTTTCCTCCGATCGCATCCTGATTTTCCCATGTATGTCACCCACCAACATCTTCAACCCATAAAGATTTGACTACAGAATCCTTAAAACCTTTTTAATAGCAAATGCTAGCGGTCTCTCTCTTTTGCTAATAATCTTCTGGAAATGAAAGGACAATAATAGAGTTTTAGATCATAGGATGGTGTAAGGACTGGGTTCTTCTCATCGTTGACGTCCTTTCCTTGTCCAAGTCACGGAGGAAGAGAGGTTGGTTTGTGGTCCCAAGAGCTTGTATCCTTCCCTTTCTATCTCTTCCACTTCATCCAGGAAACATTTGTGGATGGACATGTCGTTATTAAGATCATTGCCTTTCGGTTTACCATCCCATTTATTGCTTGAATGTCTATCTTTGTTGTCTTCCATTTACAATATTATCTGAGAAGTATAGAAATGCTTCTGGGTGTGAGGTTGAAAAATTGGCGATGTAAAGAAAATCACGATGGTTGGAAGAGAAAGTTAATCATTACCAAGAATAGGTTCATAGTCTCTCATCTGCTGGTTGCATTCTCATGTGCTTGTTCACTTTGCAACCTTTCTACTTGTTTATCTATCTTCCCAATCTCTCTTTCTCTCTCTCGCATTGTAAACGTTGGAGGCATCTGGATGGGGGAAAAAACCCGGGGGGTAATAACAAATATGAAGAAGAGGAACTGGCTAACACTCCTTCTGCTCTCCCGTCTTTCGCGGCTATCAGGATTAGTAAGAATTACGAAAAGGCCTATGAAGAAACATAATAGGTACATAAATAAATAAATCAATAGGCAAATGACAGAACCAAGAACATGAAAGTAATAAAGAATGTTAATAAATGAAACTGTTTATTGGGAGACACATTATTCTTGTCCATCAAGAACCCTCTCCAACACAGTGAAAAACCTAGAGTGGACAATGATGGATATGATAGAAAACGCAATAAGATAATAAAACGCAGTAAGCTATGAGATTACAACGATTCTGTAATTATTGCCTTTAAATTCACCCCGTGACCACTTCATCCCATTTACACAAATATATTGGAGAAGATATTAGTGCATGATGAAGAATAAACACAAATTATAACCATAGATAGTTTGCTTGACTCTGAAGAGGCTGTTGGTCTTTACTCATGGAGTTTATTTAGTTGTATCTTCTTTCTGCTTTTGTTCTATTAGAATTTCCTTGCAAAATCTCTCACTCACTTCCTATTGTATCATTAGATATGTGCAATATTCTTGAGTTTTAGGTGAGAATGAAAAGGATATTAATAGTTCAAAGTTGCTGGAGAAGGACGGAACACTATTTACGAAAGGCTATTTATTTACTAGAATCTCATGAGTAATGTTTACTAATTTGTATCGGTTGGGGTGTATTTCTCACCTTCTCTTTTTAAGGGGTTTCCTTTTGCCTCCCAAGCTAATACTTGTCAAATCCTACTGAACCAATCTTCATTAATAAAATCATGTTCATCGCTAGAAGTGACCGAAGGAAGTTAATAGTTTTCTCATCAGAATATTGCCTGTCCAAATAGAGTGATGAATGAAGAGACGCTTAACTGTGATTATTGCTTAAGTGACGTCTCACGGACAGGCTACGTCTCCAGACCCTTTTTTATATCTCTCTGATTGTTCTTTCCTTTTATGTTTATTTGACCAGCATTTGTTTACTATTTACTTCTTCCTCACTGACATTCGATCTTCTCTAACTCTGTTATCTGTTACTGTGGCTTTAATCATTTGATTAACATTTTCCTCTTTCCATTTCCATGCTCTATCTTGGTGAGCCAGCAAACGTTTAATTTAGAAAAAATATGGAAGTGATAGATAGGAGGACATCATTATTTGTTTCTATTAATACTACTTCACGAAGGTATACCGTGTGCTTTTATCACACTCTCTCACAACCAAAGAGAGGATGTTCATCTGGTCTTCATCACCCCTCACCCTTTTTTCTATTACTACAAACTAGCTGGTTCTTTCAGGGTGGGGCATGCCAAGACATTCCTTTCTACTCTTGGGATTGCACCAAAAGAGTCCATGTGCAACAATGAGCCGTTCTGCTCTTGAAGGCGCGCGGCGGCACATTGTACGTAATCTTCCCTGCCACGGGGGGGGGGGGGACGTGCCTTTTTTTCCCCTCTTTTCCCTTCCCTCAAGGGGCACCAGGGAGGACACCACCGCGGTCATCTTCGAGATCTCGGAGGAGGCGGCCGCCACGTCGCCGCTCCAGCTCACCGGCTGCGCCTCGCGCTTGCGGAAGGCGTTGGCCAGCGCCAGCTCCGCCACCTTCGAGGCCAAGACGTCGTCCCCCAGCAGCCTACGATCCGAGAGCCGGCGAAAAACGCGAGAAACAACAACAAAAAGGAAATCCCATAGAAAGAAAGGATTCCCTTGTATCAACTCAGCCGGATCCAGCCGCAGGGAACTCCACTCGGAGTTTTTTTGTCGTGAGCCTGGAGTGAAACTTGTGTCCTTGTGCAAGCCCAGCCGAGAATACGAGGTTTCTTGGGCAGCCCGGATGGGTGATTGGTTTCCTTCCGCTTTTTCAAGAAAAAAGAAGAAACAGAGCCAGGTACCGGCACCCATTGATACTGGGAAGGCCTTCAACGATGGACTCGGGAAGGCCCTCTGGCATCACAGAAGTTGCAAATACACGTTTGAGGAGACGTACGCAAGGAGGAGATACCAAATGTCTTTTTCTCAGAATTGGAGACCCCTAAACCATGATCTGTGGCCCTTTGAAACCACCCGCCACTCGGAGAAAGCGAAGCCAAATCAGGCCAGGCAGCTGCTGGGCGGAGATGTATCCGGTGAGCAGCAGGACCTCGCAGTTGGTGCCCCGAGCCAGCACTTTCTCCAGGAAGTCAATGGCCCGCCACCTGGGTACCAGTTGGCGTGCAGTTGCTCAGGATCAACCAAGGCTCCCTCTTCCCCTTTCCCCCCCCCCCACTTTTCTTGGACCTCCCAACCCCATAGTTTCTGCTACTCAGATCCAGGTCCCTCAAAGGATACAAAAAAAAAAAAGAAGCAGGCCCCAAGCCGTTGGCAAACCCCAAAGCCCCAAAAAGCCCCAAAGCTGACGGACCTCCCCCCCCCCCAGCCTTCCCCAGACCCCCCCGCTCACCTGGTGAGCATGGTGCAGGCCACCGAGCTGCGCCGGGCCTCGTAGGACTCCCGCTGCCGCGCCCTGAAACCGTCCACCTCCTGCAGCATCTCCTGCCTCCGCTGCTGCAGCGCCTACGACTCCCGGCTTTGGTCCGGGGGCTTCCCCAGTGGAAGAGGTCTGGTAGGAACTAGCGGTTTGTAACCGGCTTCTTTTGAAGATGGAGACATGTTGGACTAAGTTTTAAGCTACCTGAAACCTGCAATAAGCACATACCCATCCCTCCTTTTGTTTTTCTCTCTCTCTCTCGCTTCTCTTCTCTTCTCTTCGCTTCAATTTGCACTTCCCCTCTCTCTCGCAACCTATGCAGGGAGATAGTGGCTCAGTCGCCAAACCCTTGCAACAGCTTTCTGTGTGTCTCGACAAGGTAGCCGGCCTCCTTCACCCGAGCCTCCAAATTTCGGATGTCCTGCACGGAGGAGCGCATCTCGTCTTCGAAGTCCTGGATGCTGGTAGTCACCTGCTGGTGCCTCTCCTGCAAGGAAGAGCCCAGTTGGCGCAGCTGCTGAAGGTGAGCCTGCAATGCCTGCAAGCCAACCCGAAATCTGTGCAACTACAAATTCCCATCCCAATGGCCTTGGCCGCTTTAAAGAGGGCTCCCTGGTATCACAGGAACTCCCCTAACGGAACCCCTTTTTCCCCCCCACCCCCTCACCCCCCGCCAGAATTTTTCCACCATGCCTTACGCTGCTTCTCCAGCAGGCCGCTGGAAGGGAGCTTGTAGACGTGAGTCTCGTGCTCTTCCTGAATGCAGTTCCTGCAGCACATCACATCGCAATCCTCGCAGAAGAACTCCAGCTCCATGTGAGGGTGGCCCGAGCACGTGGCCGCCCTGTGCAGCGAATGCTCCTGTTGTTCTTTCAGGGTCGTCAACGCATGAGACGCCGATGCTTTGGAGCGTCTGTGGTGCTCGCTGCATTCAAGACACAGCCTCCTGACGCATTGGGCACAGTACTGCACTGCAGGGCCTGCCTCCACGCACTCGTCACAACAGATTGCAATGGAGGTGGTGTCGCTCACAGCCCTGAAGTCGAGGCGCTGGTTCTCCGCAAAATGGCACAGAAACTTTGAGTAATTCTGCTCCTTGATCTGTGCATCGCAGATTGGGCATAGCGCCTCCTGCCCTTTCCGCAAGATTCCTTGCAAACACCTTCCACATGCCAAGTGCAAGCAGGCCAGCACCTTCACCTCGCCCCGGCTTTCAGAGCTCAACACCATCTCTTTGAAGGGGACTTTGCAAAACGCGCAGCTGGATGTCGCCCCCATTTGTGTTCCGAGCCGCTCTTGCACAAAAGCGCCCAGCTCGGAAACATCTGCATCCCCTGTTTGGCCCATCTATGGCCATGCTCACCGCATGTGTGAGACGCCCGCGAGCGCTACGATTTCAAGTCGTAGCCACTCTGGGTCGGTTTGAGGCTGAAACCGCAGGAGTGAAGCATCATTTCTCATTTGATTGAACCTTGGAGGATACCATTAGTCCCGCAAACGTGGCTGGAAAGCACGGTCCGCCTGATTTTTGTGGGACATGTGGGTCATGCCCCTTCTCGTCCTCCTCAAACTAATGATATATTCGGCTAGCTCGCTTGCTAGACATCAAGCACGTGCGTGACGCAAGGACGGTCCTTGGCCTTCTCCTTTGAGTCTTTTCTTGCCTGGTGCTATTGGCAACTGCTCCTTCTGCTATGCTTAATGGGTATGGTGAATGGCAAAGAACCTCGCCAAAGGAGATGCTGCAAAGAATTGAGGCGTGCCAAGTTTCGTCTCTACCCAGGGCAGTTGGGAGAGGATGGATGGGGGGGAGAGGGAGGGAGGGAGGGAGGGGAGGGGAGGGGAGGGGAGGGAGGGGAGGGGAGGGGAGGGGAGGGGAGGGGAGGGGAGGGGAGGGGGGAGGGGAGGGGAGGGGAGGGGAGGGGAGGGGAGGGGAGGGGAGGGGAGGGGAGGGAGGGAGGGGAGGGGAGGGGAGGGGAGGGGAGGGGAGGGGGGGAGGGGAGGGGAGGGGAGGGGAGGGGAGGGGAGGGGAGGGAGGGAGGGAGGGAGGGACAGAACGTGATTTTCCTCATTCAGGATCGTGTTTCGGGTCTTATAAAAATATTTGGTTCAGAAGCGCAAACAACAACAACAAAAAAAAAAAGGAAACAGCCAGGGGGGGGGTTAAGACAGTCAACCAGAGAAACCCCAGAATGGGTTCAGAGTCCAATTCAATTGGACTCCCCAGGCGGGCACCCGAGCTGCCAGTGCCAGACAGGCTGGCTTGATCAATTGGGCTTATTCTTAAACATAATGTGCAAAAGGCAGGTTGGGAGAGGCTTGGCGATCCGGACGAAGTCAAACAAGCTTCCAAGCATGACGAAGAAATCAGTGGCTAGGCTATGCAGGGCTTTGTTTCCTGCACTATCTGCCAACAACATGCTCCAACTCAATCCCCAACATGCAAGCGCCACATGCTTCTACACAAATGCTGCTGCCAGCACATGCATTCCTGATTTGACCCCGCGATTGGCCTTGCAATGCTGCGTGTGGTACTTCCAAGGCCGCGAAACAAATCCGGCTGCGGGTCGAAAAAGGGTTCCCAAAATGGAACCCTGGTAAATGGAACGACTAAAACCTGCGGTCAGATTCCTGGTGGTTTAATTTTGATCCATACCCATCCAGCCTCCTTCCCCTCCGTCTCAATCACCGCCGTCTTCGCTTTCTTGGCGCGAGGCTCTGCAGGACCCTCCCTGCGTGGCCTCAGGCGGGACATCGTAATTCCCTACTGAGCTGGCCATTCGTAACCAGCTGAATACCAGCGTCTTGCTGCAGCTGGCCCGGTTGGCAGAGGCAGGTGCTCAAACATCTAGAAGATAGCAGAGTTTGTTGCATTGAGCCAAGGCTGACCTGCCAAACCTATACAATGATAGCTTCAGATTCATCCGGAGGACCATGCTAATCAGGGGTTGTTCCGTTATGGCAAGGACACGATCTAGTCAGTCGGCCGGAATTTTCCTAAGTCAACATGATTGACATTGCTTTCAATGGAGCCACTATTGCTCGCGCATTGCACAAACTTGCAGACAGCAAGCACCACGATTAAACAAAAAACACTGAGCAAGCAAACTGCGAGGAAAAGAGGCGGGAGGGGAGAAAAAATCCGAGCACAAGAGTCGGGAGAATGACGAGAAGAGCGGCAACGGGGAAAAGCCTTGAAGGACACGTAGCCCAAGCCAAGTGCCACTGGCACATCTCGCATATCCCTGCCCGCCCAAAGCATAAAGAGCACCCCGAAGCCGCTCCCAAAAACCAAGCTGCCAAGAGCCTCCCAGCGGCTCCCTCATCACGCAGGCCTCTCTCTCAAGCCGTTTGTGCCAAGCGGCGCAAGCCAGCGCTCTGGCAGGAGAAGGATTCGCAGACTTGGCGGCCTGCGTGCGGCTTGAGTTCTTCCCATCTGGCCATGGGTCAAAATCCAAATAGTACCCAGTGAACATCCCAATCCCCACTAAAATAGACTAAAATGGATGGTGCACCTACCCCAAAATGGGATCCCATTGGTTTTGACCCACAGCCATCTGAGATCATCGGAGCCCGGAAGAATTTGCAGCGCGCCTGGTCTCCTCCTCGCAATCGCAGGGCTCTCCATCCAGACCTGGTTCGGCTTTGCCGTCTCGGCGCAAGTCCTGCAGGAACCCTGGCTCAACGCGCGCTCATAGAGTCTGGTCAGCACCTTGTCCTTCTGTAGGCTCAAAAGGCGCCAATCATGGCTTGTAGCATGACAATGGCAAAAAGCCCAGGCAAAACAGTTTGGAACACGTTGCACAGCTTCAAATGTTATCGTTTAGGGCTGCGTCTGCATAGTTCTACGTTCCTCTTCAGCCTCTTGAAACACTGCATCATTGTCTTTTCGAGCCTGCAGCGTTTTGACATGCATTCAACTGTTCCCAGCTAAATTCTGTGCATATCTCTTTAGCTTTCCTCCTGATCGTTTGTCAAGCTGCCTTGACCCAGGCAAAATGAAAAGCTCCACATGGAACTTCCAGGAGTCTTCCCCCCTTCTCATTTCCCATCCACATTCATCCCCAACTGAAGCTCCAAATGGAATTTCCACATCCCCCTTCCCATTTCTGGGGTGAAAACCCGGCAGCGCGTTCCCACAAACCGCCCCTCCTTCGGCGCCCTCGGCTCCGAGTGGCCCGCGTCAGGCGGCCAGTACGCCTCGAAGAGCAGCAGCCGCTCCAAGAGGCGCTGGCGACTACCTGCGAGATGCGACTCGGCCTCTGGGAGCCGATTTTTTGAAGCCAGGGTATGGCTCGAAATTAATAAGAGCCAGGGTTGCGCAGGTTCTTGATGTGGAGTTCCATTTGCCAAGGTGCCATTATGGTACATTTATTTGAGCCAGGGCTCCTTGATTTCATGCCCCCCTTGAACGTCACCCACGGGACACTTGTATAGCAACCAACAGCTGTTCAGCCATCTCGGCATCCATGGCCCACGTCGAACCTGCCTTTGATAGAAAGGCCGCGTTGCTGGCAGGCGCGCCTCAGGCACGCGCTGCGTGTGCGAGGGGGAGCCTTCTCCTTTGCCTTGCCCACTTCCTCTAAAACAAACATGCAACCCCACTGAAAACTAACTCCCCTTGCCAGAGCCGATGTTGCCTTGTCACTGGCTGCTTTAGACAGGTCCTATTCGTAGGTTTCGAACCAGGCATGTCGACATGGCAAGTCCAAACAGGTGGTAAAGCTTGCTCCCGTGCAATGAGGCCCAGAAAGAGAGGCAACCCCCTGTAGCCCCAAAATGTGCCAGCTTCCCCAATTCCAATGGGGTCACGCCCGAGGTACAAACCTCAAGCAAAGCCTCGAGGCCAGATTCCTGGCCAAGGTGCCTCCAAACAAGATTTCTACTGGCACATCATTGCGGCACATCTTATTCTTTGCATTCCTCACAGAAAACACTGTCAGTCGGCACGAGCGCTTTCAGGGCTTCGCATAATTGTTCAGGCGTGCAAGGCCCACGACAACCATCGTGGCATAAGCCGGATGCCAAGCTGCTCGAGCGTTGCCAAATCTGAGCCCATCCAGTGCTGCTGTGCTTGCTGCACCGCTGCAGGGGCAGAAGCTGACACCTTCTCGCCGGTTTCAGCCTTGCCGCACATGACGGCCTGGCAACGCGCAAGCAAACTGTGGAAGTTGGGTGTTTCAAAACAGGGTTAAAAACAAAAAAACTCGGGTTATCTGGTCTTGAAAGGATGCCCACCAGTTCAAGGGTCCACACCCACATGACATTGGTCCAGAGTGCCCATGAATTCTTCACCGGTGTAGTTCAGGTTGGCTCTGTGGCATCTCACTGCGGCAAGCCGTGCTGAAACCGCTGACATGCTCTGAGAGGCAGCCCAGCTTCAGAGTGCAACGTTATGCCACGCAAGGGCTAGGGATGATGGATCCCTAACTCTTTATGAAGCGCCTGAAGTACCTTGAAAGACGCGACTCCGTGCCTCCAGCCCCTTCCTTAAACCGGCGTTGCTACAGTCACTCGTCACTCCCTCGCTACGCATCTCCTTCTCTCATTCTCCCTCTCCCCAACTCCGCGGAATCACGTGTTGGCCCAATGCCGCCCGATCCCCCTCCGTCTTCTGCAAGCCAACTCAAAATGTCGAGGCAGTCCACCAAACACAGCACTGCTGAGCGCTGAACGTGAAGCGAGGTGGGAAAAGAGCCCTGCGGTTTCAACCGGCAGCACGTGGCAGAAGGCAGAAGGGGGTCACGTGCACTTCAAAAAGTGGTTTTCTTCTGGGAACCATGCCTCAAACGCTCACTCCGTGTAACTTGATTTCTAGAAGCTCACGGCTCTACCAGACTTTTCGACCGGGCACCCGACCACTCCGACCAGTTCTCCACGAGCTTCAGGACCTGAAGCCGGACTGTGAGACTTTGGGGGAATGTTTGACCCCGGATCAACAAAACATTGTTTATTGATATGGGGTGCGTTCCCCCAAAGCGATGATTCCCAGAACCCGGGACACCCGGACAGCCCCGTATCAATAAACAGGGTTTTTTTTTGTGGATCCGGGGTCGGCATTACCCTCGAAGGCTCACCCGGTCGCGGAGAGAGCTGGCGGCGATGGTGGAGATCCCGTCGCAGACCTGCGACAGCAGTGGGCGCGGCACTGAAATGAAGCCCCACAAATGAAGCCGAATCAGGAGGTACCAGCGAGGATGAGCAAATACAAGCGGCACGCTGCATTTCACGCGCAAGGTATGGCTCCCAGTTGCCCAGCACTGACAACACGTGCAAGTCATAACAACATGCGCAACACGGAAATCGGCACTCAGACCAACATGAGGCGACCCAAAGAATAGATCAAGTGGTTTCCCTCTCATTGTGAAGCTTCCCTTGTGCAAAGTAAGAATCAAGAAAACACACTTCCAAACCATGCCACAGGCTCGCAGCTTGACTTCTTGCAGGACTATGCTGAGAAGCTTGTTCAGATTCATTGACCCAATATATCACATGGAAAACATGTCACACTTGTGCGGGGTACGGTTGCTCACACCAAGTGTGGGTGTGTCTTTGTGGTTTTACATGGACGCCAAACGGAAGGCAGCCATTTTGGTCCCAACAAGAAGACACCTCCCGTGCGTCTTCGGAAACTCGCGGGCCTCTCGAAGCCTCTCCACCACATCCTCAGGAAGCGAGCCGAGCCGCGAAACGCTTCGCTCAGAAAGAAACGGCTGTGGTTGTCAAAACCAATGGGATCCCATTTTGGGGTAGGTGCACCCAGCCCCCCCATTTTAGTCTATTTTAGTGGGGATTGGGATTTTCACTGGGGGTACGATTTATGACCCATGGCCAAGCCCGGGCGGCTGGCCGGCAGGAGGTCTTGGAACTTGCGGCGGTACTGCGAAGCTCCAGGCTTCGTGCCTTGGCGCGCGCTGGCGCAGCTCACAACGGTCAGCTGGTCTTTGAGGGTACCCTCTTTTGGTTGGTTGTTAAGGGAAACAAATAGGAAGACACGTATTTTTCCGGGGGGGGGGGGAGGGGGGGTGCTCTTGATTTTGAGACAACCCCACAGCAGCGATGCCGCCCGACTAAGTGACTAAGCCATGCACAGTGCGAGTTGTAGAGGACCTAGAGGCGAGCCCGACGCCAAACGTCGCTTGGCTCACTTTCCGACAGCCGCGGGCATCATTCAGCAGGTAGAGGCGGGCGACCAGCTGCTGCGTTGTAAGCCCAAGCTGCGCCTGGCAAGAGCGCGATCCAGTGATGAACTCCTTGCGAACTCGTTGGATTTGAAAAGAAATGCGTCTAAACCCACCAGGGAGTGATGGGCATTAAAGTTATTTCAGTGCTTGGCAGTTGCGACGGGCATGCTGCGAAACTTACACAGCTCTGAGTGATAGTCCACGGTAACAACTGCATTTTCCACATCTCCCAGTAGCTTGATGCACCCTCTGCCTCTGTGATGCTGGCACCGATCTTCTGCGCAATGGCCAGTGAAGACATCGACTTGTCCACGCAAAAGACCATGGCCTGAAAAGAATGGCAATCAGCTGCCCCCATGTTTCTGTGTTGACTGAACGCACAGAAACGATTGGTGGGTAGGGGGCAGCTGCAAGCTGCCAGCTGCCAGCGCAACGGCGGCCTTCAGGATCAAGGCTCGCGACAGCGAAAGGTCTCCGATGAGCTCCTGGAATGCCGCCGACTCCTGCACCAAAAAAAGAAGCGCAAGGCGCGGAACCAAGATGCATGCAAGGGAGGGGGCCTTTTTGTCTGGCTTTCGTGGTTGCACACCTTGCGCTTTGTTGCGCTAAGGTGCTAAGCTTCGGGAAGTCTTACAGGTGTTGGGCAGGCAATCTGCCGGCCCCCCAGCCGTAAGGAGAGGGTATTCGCGGCCTCGCGGGCAGCGTCGAAATGGGGATTGTCTCAGCCAGACCTGCAGCTATGTAACAGCCGGCGAGTAAAGCTAATTATTACTAATTACCCTCGTGTCTGTCTCCATCAAGTGAAAACAGGCTCTGTGAGGCTGGGCTCAACAAAATCGTCTGAGGTATTCGTTTCGTTGGCCAGGCGCCTGTGCGACCCAAAGCTCACATAGGTCCTTCCAAGCGCTGAAAGGCGGCCATTCCAGTCCACCAGGCCTGCATCAGGATTGGGATTCGTGATGGCATACGTCCACTCGTTCCTGAAGTAGCTGAACCAGGCGTACTTCTCAATCACGTCTTCTTCCTCCAGCCAGGGCACCACTTCCTTCATGAAACGGACCTGGCCTTGCATGGAGACATCGAAGTTGGGGTCAGCACACGCAAACTCCGTGAGCCAAATCTTCTTGCCGAAGCGCTTGTAATGCTCCACCAGGTTCTTCACCCCATCCAGTGTGCACCAGTAGCTGTGAATGGCAACTGCATCCACTCGGCAGTTCTTGCAAGCCTTCAAGAACTCACCCATCCACCAAGTGCCTTTGCCGATGTCGCCGCACATGGCCGGGCTCACCAGCGTGCGCACTCCAAGGTTTCTGGCCACCTGCTCCACCTCAGGCCACACCGCCGCCGCATGCCATGGGCTCATGTGCGCTTGCGTGTGGATGTCTGGCTCGTTGAAGCCCAACAAGGCCGAGAACTGCCCGCCGCCGTTTCGGGGGAAGTGGTGGTCATGCACCATCGGCATGAAGTCCATGCCAACGCTGCGCCACTGCGAGCGAGGGGACATCTGCCAGTTGTAGCCCCACGACACTCCCTGCTTCAGCGCATGAAGCTGATGATCCCGGAGGTTCGATTTGGCAATGCCTCGCTTGGCACTGGCTGCCACCCTCTGACTGAAACAAACCACCAGCGCGAGGCCATAGGCTACGGATCGCATACCTGAAAATGTCCCGAGTGCTGGCCGACGGCCTTTGATGAGCCAAAGGCTCGCATGAATTGCGCTCACAAAGCTTCAATCTGTCTGCGGCGTTTGACGGCTGCTCGCTTACAACGAAGGTCCGATGGAACATGCCCACAGGTTCGAAGTCGAGCCTCCTGCGTCAGCCCTGCACCGCCTGCACGGGTGGCAACATCCAATGGCTCAATATGCAAACAAGCAAATAAGGTCCAATACTCCCCTACACATCAACATGGAACCCAAAAGGGCGCTCCCCTTTTGGGAGCTTCCTCGACAAAAGTGCTTCTTGGGTGGGAGAGGGGGGGACTCAAGCCAAGTCAACACGACTTTTGCATAGCTCGCCTATCACATTGTCCTTGCCGCTGGTCGAAACGCTGGCGCTCGTCAGCTTCCGCAGGCGGTCGAGCCCTTGCCCCGCCTCCACGGGTTTTGTAGCAATAGTCCGATGCAAGTGATCAAGTAGCCCCCAGTTGGTGGCTGCATGGCTTGAATTGGTTCCGGGATTTGACCACCCAACCTCCAAACCACCAACACAAACCACCAACAAAGGCTTGCCACGGTTCCCCGAAGCGAGGTGCGCGAACATTCATTGCGAACCGAGGCTGCAGCGCTGGGCATCAGCATCTCTATCCGCTGTATGGCTTCCGGGACTCCCTGCGCGATGGGGAAACGGCTCCAGAAGAAACAGCTGGCCGAACCGTGGGCGTCGTTGCTGCTGCCGTCCTCCATGCGCTTCTCGCACGGCGGCGGCTGCCACAACGGACCATTTTCATAGATCTGGAATGGCCTCTCTTTCCACAGGCTGTCAGTCTAGTCTGCTCATGGGCATCCGTTTCTTGGTTTGGTTCGTTTGGATGTTCTCCAGACGCCTCAAATCTGCCAGCCGCCTCCCCTCCCCCTCCCGGGTTAAGGCTGCAGCTCGGTGCGCCAGTACTTATCGTTGTCGCCTTGTGAATAGGAGAAGGTCCGCCAGCCTGAAGTCTGACTTCAGGCTCAGCTCAAGACGTGTTTGGGGCCCCGTGACGAGCGGCGGTAGTAGACATGGAGCGGCTCTTCCAAGTTCTCTTTGTCCGTCGAAATGAAAGCAAACCTGTCAGCCCATTCAATGCAGGCGCAAAAGCTGGCAATCAGCTTGCGCTCCAGTTCTCACAAGCCTGGGGTTGTCTTTCTCCCTTTCCAGAAGAACTCTCTCCTGAGATTCAGGAGCGTGAGGAATGTCAGGAAGCTGGTGCCCGAGTGCGGCAGGCACGTTGCACCAGAATGCAGCGCAATATTGCAGGCATACGGAAACCAAACAGTGTAAAAAGATCCGCCAAGGCTCGAATTCCCAACCTTCATCCGCGACAAACTCCGCGGTCGTGTCGATCAACTTCTTAAGAAGCTGCACGGAGCGCGGTGGATTGGCGAGTTGCGGATTGCGGCCTTTAATGGTTCGCTGGAGGCTTAAAACCATCCCCATTGCAAGACAAGAGGTAAATCCGGCTATCTCTGGCCCGACGCAAGGTCACGCGCGCATTGTGCCAGTGCCCTTCAGGCCCGGCCTGGTCCTCAGGAGGCTTGACCACCAAAGTCTTGGCCAAGTTCCACCTGGGCAATTCAAAACAGTCACGGGACCCTCTGCACAATCTGTCAGCTCATTGCAGTCCCGGTCCCCTAAGTGGCCAGCCGAGACTTTCGGGTGCTTGACGAGGCCTGAATGGACCCAATGGATGGGCTCTGTCGCGGGCACTGGCAGCCGATGCTATGGCACTGGCGGGCGAGCTTTCAGATGTGGGCATCGGCATCGGCATCGGCTTCGGCTTTGGTGGCTCGATATGCCTCGGGCGGCCATCGGCGTGATGCACCCGAGCGCACACGCCGATCAAATTGACCAGTCGAGTTGCGGCATGAGCGCGGGCTTGGTTACCACATTCAAATTCGGCGTCATGCCCATGCTCATGATGGCGCTGACATTCCTGCATCGGACTATCCAGCCCTAGATGCTGATGTTGGGCCATGCCACATGCGAATACAATGCCACACGACTCTCACCCTGCGCACGTCTGGGACATCTGATCACATGGCATTCTGGGAAAGCTACCCACGCAAACGACTCCTGACTGGTTGTATTGCACGCCCCCAGTCGATGCGCAGGCACATGCCAAAGTACTCCTGTGAAATTTCAGCGGTTCGCATTTCGATTAGCAAACGCCTCAGCGATGCCAAGGGCAGCCTTACATCGGGTCCTTGCCATTCAACTTCAATCTGGCAAGCTCAGCTTGATGTCTGGTTTTGAACTGGACGAATCCGCTGTTCATGCCTGTGCGGAAGATAACCGGCCGAACGCAGCAATTGTCGAACTGCGAAGCCAATGCAACATGCCTCGCAGGCGCTGCTGGTCGTTCCTGCAAATGAGCAAACTTGAGCACTTTCCGCCAGCCTTTTTAGTTGCCTTGGCAAGAATTCCACGACTTCAGCATAGCTGGTGTGTGCAAACCCTGGAAGTGAGCAACATCCTTTGGCAACAGAGTCGAGTGAAGTGTGTTTGCATATTTCAAACTATCAAGTTGCCACTTGCCCTTGCCCCATGTTCGCGCATGCTGCCAACAAGCAGCTCATGGCCCTGGCATATGCCACCAAATTTAGCCCACTAACATTCAAAGCAGAAGCGTCGGGATCAGACTGATCAGTAACAGCGCTCCAACTCGTCGGGCGACTTTCTGCTACATTGCTGCTGCGCGTATGAGCCTCAACTGGACGTATGAGCCACAACTTCGTGCCACAGTCCCTCCACATCCCCTGTTTCAACAATGGGAAGGTCACATCACCTGCCATGGACCAAGCCATGGACGCATTACCCATGGCCCCCAAGGTCCTCGGGTACATGATCTTAATGGAGGTGACCTCTCCGAACCTTCCAAACCTAGGTGCAGGTCTTCAAATCTGCCCACATGAAGCTAGCGTGACTGAGGATCAGGCTCGCGAGAGAGCATCTCTTCAGTCCATTCCGTCGACAAAGATCCCACATAGAGATTGTTGGTGTCCTGCCCCTAGGGCTCACTCGTGCCAAAACGACTAGCTTCGAACTTGGAAAGCACGCGCCTCAGCCACTGTCAAGGGCCCCGTGGGCTGCGGCTGATGCGTGGGCAGGGACATGTGCCCGTCGGCCTGGGCCTCGTTCGCAACATGGGGTTGATTCCTTGTCCATTCTGTTCAACCATGGTTCTTTTCAAAATTTAGTTCTCCCAGAATCTTTGGCTTTCCTAGAAAGATCCGGATCCCTGGAAATGGAAACCGGAAACGGAGTAGCTACCCTTAGAAGCACGCCGACCGAACGGACGGGTCTGAGGCCGCGCGCCAGGAAGCCCTCGACGTAGGACAGCTCTTGCCTCTCAAAAAAAAAAAAAACGAGCGGCGGCCGTGGATTTTGGCCGATCAGGCTGATGTGTTTTCCCCCGGATTTATAAACCCCTGGTTGATTTAATAGGGGGGTGTCCGTTTAGTGGGGATTCAGACCACTTTTGGAGGGAACACCCCCCTAATAATGGGACGGGTTTATTCATCCTGGGTCAACATTCTGGGAACAAATGGACCACGGCCTTAGCCGCGAGATCCGCATGACGTCCTGGGCACATCACGGCAACCAAGAAGCCGTAAAGTGCAAGGGGAGGCTGACCTGCGGAGATTTGGTCAACAGAGCCTCAACTTCTTCCCGCAGCCTCTTCCTCGGTGGCAAATGGCACATGCATCCAGCAGGGATCACATGCGGAGCTCCGAGTGCGGGCACCTCTGCTCTCTCTTCTCCTGCTTCAGCTTCATCTCCTAAAGCTCATGTCCCACGGGTCGGTCCTAGGTGCCGGTCTCGTCGTCCTCCAGCAAACTCATGGACTCGGACTTCCCCTTGCCTCCCTGCCATCGGAGAAGGATCACCCCTCCCAGCCCACCGTCTGCAACAAGCCTTCGTGCCGCACCCGCCGCTGAAGCCCATGCCTGGTGGAAGTTGCAAAGCCGAAGTGGCAAACCTTCAAAACCCAACTCCTGAAACAACCGGCTGGTTGTTGAGATTCAGCAAAATACTTCTGCTAGGTGCTTGCTACTTGGGAGCACGGGGGGTTCGAGCTTCGTGCACGGGTCCCGCCTGCTGGGAGCCCCTTGCCAGGCCAAGGGCCCGACCTGTTCGGATTTTGTTCGCCGAACAAAATATCCGGATCCTGCAAACAAATGGCGATGGGTCAAAACCCAGTAAACCCAGCAAACAACCCAATTCCCACTAAAATAGGTTCTAAAATGGGTGGTGCACCTACCCCAAGATGGTACCCTTGGTGTTGACCCACGGCCAAATTGCTATATACGTCCCCCAGTTGTCCCGACAGGTCGCTGGATTTGTCCAAACCTATGACTCGAACGATGGAGGCTCGGTGCCTGTTCATGGCTCCATTCATCCCTCATCAGGTCGGCGGGCGTGGGACCAGGCCGGCCAGGTCCGCCGCATGGAAGGAGCTGGACAGAATACTCTTGCTTGCTGTTTTGGATGGTTTGATGCTTGGTGTAAAATGGATGCTGCCTGTGTCAGATACGGTGCTTTGAATCAGTTTGGGCGACAGCTGGCTTGCGCAGTGTGCCACAGACCCTTTCGAGCTGTCAGGAATGCAGGAAGCGAAGTGTTGCAAGTTTGAGCTGGCAAGCGCTGAATCCACGAGCTCAAAGGCCCAATGGTTCCTTGTGAGCATTGCGCCAAGACTGCCCAAACTATCTGCGCATCCGATTTACAATGGCTGCCCAACATGTTCACCGAATGGACTAAACGACGCCACACAAGCCCACACCCGTAGCCCGGTAACCCTGGCAATCCTCAGTCAGCCAACTCCCCCCCCCACCCTACTGCTTGCTACCCAGCGGCACAAATGATATCAAGCCCCTCATGGAACCAGATGCCTGAGGCACCAACTCCCACGTCAGAGAGGCAAGGGCTGCCTGCCAAGCAGGGGCAGCGAAGCTGACCTTGCCCTTTGCTGGTCGACGGGCTGATTCGGGGGGGTGCAAGCCAACGGGGAAAACCATAGCTCGTGGGCCACATGCAAACAGCGCCGGCGGCTGGCTTTTCACTTTGCGTGCGTGGGCTCACCGCATCTAGTGCATGCGGCGCATCCAACAGAACTAATTCACCTGGCGTGGCCAGGTGGCGAAATATGGGTACATGATGGTACACGGCAGATGGCCCCGCATAACGGCATGGACAGCCAAGCATTCTGATTCTCTCCACGGCGCCAAATACAAGACCGAATTTGATGCAAGTCATGAGCAGGGCCTGTCTGTGCGCTATCGCAACATCAGCTTGCAAGCCGGCCCCTCGAGTCGACAACTGGAGGGCCTATGATCTGGTCCTAGAAAGTTCAAACCCCAAACCAATGAATGGTGAAACAGGCAATCAGTGGCCAAACCTGAGCAGCCGCATCTGTTGCCAGTTTCAGGCTTGGGCGGCTTGGGCTGTGGGTGTTGGGCTTCATTCCCTCAAGCCTCTTGAGGGCACCCTCTTTCCCCTTAACGCTTGGAGACCACTCAGTGCCATGGGGGGGGGGAGCGGCTCCAGCCAGGGTTTGATAGCTGAGGCCAGGCACCACGCGGTGTGTTTTTCGCTCATGGCTGGGATGGCACGAGGAGCGACTGCGGGTAGGCCAGCGGACCAGGCGACGGCACCTGGCAGGGAGACAAGAAAGCGGCAAAACCCCCCAGAGTGTGCGAGGGAGGGAGTGTGCGAGGGGAGGGGAGGGGAGGGGAGGGGAGGGGAGGGGAGGGGAGGGGAGGGGAGGGGAGGGGAGGGGAGGGAGGGGGGAGAGAGGGAGGGACAGGGAGGGAGGGAGGGAGGAAGGGAGGGGGAGGGAGGGAGGGGCGGGCGGGCGGGCGGGCGAGAGAGGGAGAGGGAGGGAGGGAGGGAGGGAGGGAGGGAGGGAGGGAGGGAGGGAGGGAGAGAGAGAGAGAGAGACCGAGCCATCAGCGAGCAATCTGTGCACAACCTGCCTTGTTTCGGAAAATGCCCTGTTTGGTGTGAAGTACGTTGGAGGGCAACCAAAGGGAATCCAATCCACTCACCTTGGGGTTCCCTTTGGACAAACCCAGTCTCTCAAAGCTAAAGCTGGCACGGACAGCGGAGGTGTGCCATTCAAGATGCCTGCTGCAAAAACCGCTTGCTCGGCGATGAATGCTCTTGCTGAGCTTGCCAGAGCAGCAGCCATGTACTTTGATGGCCGGCTTCTTGAGCATAGTCCATGGCGCTCTTGCCCATCTCATCTACCTTAGGACGCCTTTGAAGGCAAAGGCCTTCAGAACTGTGACGTCAGCGGATGGGTCTTGCAGCGTGATCCCTTGCCACGATTTCTGCTCACCCGTGCATCTGGACTAGTGACTAGTGGCACCAATTGTTGAGTCATCAGGCCTTGGCAGCCCGTTTGGCAGGCCCTCTTGCGGGGTGATGGCCCTCTTGCTTTGCAAAGGCTCATTGCATACTGGCCACCGCGGACCCAGCACGCAAACGCACTGAACTCCATGGGGCTGAGGACTTCGGCCTTTCTGGGTAGCAATCAACTGCAACACCAGAAGCCAAAACAGCGAGCATCCTCTCGAACAAAATGGTCCTCCCAACCGGGGAACCCCAAAAAACTGCATGTTTTTCAAATGGCTCTCCTAAACACACCCCAAACAAGTCGACATAAGCTGACTCAGCTGACCCTCCAACAAAAGGAGGAGCACGCGTCCTTTTCTGCCAAGGGGCTTGCGCCGGATCGGCATTTTGCTGCAGCAGGCGCTCGCAGAGCACGTGGCGCCCTTCCGCGGCAGCCCAGTGGAGAGCGGTCCATTCACGGCGGCCCCCGTGCACGGCCTGGCGCGTCTCCCTCGGAACAGCCGGAAGCTCCCCCACTTGGCCGGCGCAAATGGAACCAAGTCTTAAGGGGTGCGTTCGGGAGCTTCCATGGAATTTTCGGGGGGTTCAGTCCGCTTCCATTCTCAAGGATCCCAGGGCTTTTGAAGGTAATCAAAAGAGAAGGCTGCGATCGGAATCTTCTTTGAGAGCGGGTTCTGAGCCTTTTTGGGCTAAAACTTCCTGAGAGTTGGCTTGGCCGCTTGTGGGTCACATATCGTATCGTTGCCAGGGGGACGACTCAAGCCAAACACTGCCTGCATTGGGTAAATGCAAACACCAAAAACAGAGTCCATCAAATCAGGCCGTTACCCCTTGGGGTTGGCGTCTCGCGAATAGACGTCAGCCGTTGGATACCGCAAAGAAACTGAGTAGGTCCAAATCGTGAAGTCTTTTCTGACTGTCCTGCGTTTGCCTGCTATGGCAATTCAGTCTAGGTGCCCAGCCAACCCAAGCGTTGCTTTGGCATGGTCGACTTTACGCATTTGATCCACAACTAAACTAAACATGTGAGCGTGCAAAGGACCTTGCTGCCCCAAACCTGGTGTACACTAGCCCTTGCTCACCGGTTTGCAAGCCCATGCCCGTTGAAGATGCCTTGGCTCTCATGATGCTCAAATGTGCCTTCACACAATGCATGGCCAGCGCCACCCCGACAGAAATGCAAGGCATGACAAACATATCCCAGCTGCCGGCTTTAAAAAGCCGGCCCAGTCCTGCCACCCGTAACTCTCCACTGCTGCGACGGTGGCAGCAATGGCCGGAGGGACGCTCAGCGGCTCCTGCCGTACATTCTGCATCAGGCTGGCAGGCTGTTTTTTTTTGGAAAACATAAAGCATGGCCCACTCTCACAGCCGAACTGCCAAATTCAAACGCGCACCGTGCCGCCTTCGCCTCTCTGGCGGGCATCGTCTCCAGCTTCGGGCCACGAAGTCGCATGGCAACCTCGCGTGGATACAGGTCAACGGGAAGCGGGTTCAGGACTGAGAGTGCCGAGCAGGAAAACCGCCATTTGAGGGAGGCGCCCCAAAAACAGGACACCAACATCGAGATGCAGAACCCCTGCCATCCGACAGTGTCAGAACTCTCGACAAAGCTTCTCCGCCTCCTGCTCGCCAGCTTCATTCGCGCAGTCGACTGGAGTCCAGCCACGCTCGTCCTGTTGAAACGAACGCCCAGCCTGCTACAAGCCTCACTCGGAAAGCTGTCTGGCAGCATTTGTCTCAATACCTAACACTACACCTGCCTCGCACATAGGATCAGCGCGTGCAGCCAAGAGCCGATGACAAACATCCAAACGTCCTGGCCGGCTGACTGCCATTGCAAGTCGTTGCTTGCCACAAACATCGGCGCCCAAGCCTTCCATTGCTGCCCAGTGCAGGATCGTCCATGCCGGCGGGTCATCAGCGGGGTACACTGCACTCCAGCCATGAGTCTCGATGCCTAGTGCTCACAAGCAATCAAACATCATGCCAGCTGTTGGGGCATGGGAGGCCCAAATGTTGTGAAGGGATGGCACGTGCAAAATGATCGCCTTCCAGGGCAGCTGCGTAGACCAAGGGCAAATCGGGCTGACCTGCGGCCGATTTGCCAGAAACTGCCTGCCGTGATTCATAGCATGTCATAGCCAACTATATACACAAGTAGATAGATAGATTAGTAGATAGAAAGATTAGACTAGATTAGAATAGATTAGATTAGATGGATACATAGATAGATAGATGGATATGGGAAACGCAGGAACCTTCAATGGCATGTGTCGAGCCTTTCTACTGCTCGCCATTCTGGCTGTGACTCGTTCGGCCCTTGCCTCCGTCGAACGAGCTTGCAGCTGACGCATGTACGGCGCTTGGCTCTGGGCTGCCCATCCTCAGCGCCGGATGACAACACCGGATGACAACACCACCTGAGTGGTACAAAAACGTGGTACAAAACGTGGTACAAAAACGTGTTACAAAAATAATGAATCAAAGCGTGGTATAAAAAATAATTCAGCAAAATGTGGTAATTACACAAATGGTGAACCCAAAGCCACGTAAAGAGATACCAAAACGGCGGCGCCCATTTCTGGGTGGGACTGTTCCTGGTTTTGATTGTGGCTCAGCTTCACAAGCTTGCCGAAAGTCGCAAACAAAGAGAAGGCGCATGGTCAGCTCGTGTTGAGCTGTTTGAGCAGGCGCAGTGTAACTTTACCCCACCCTTTCCCCCAACTAAATCTGAGCTTCCACTCAGCTTGCCGGAGGAAGCTGTCAGCCTGCGAGCAGGAGCCCCAGCACCGCTCTTGGGAAACCGGCGTGTGGACAATGGATCGCTCCTGGGCATCGACCTCCGAGAAATCACCCTAGGCGGGGCGTCATGAATGGCGCAAGCGCCAGGCAAGCGCTGAGCCCGGGGCCAAACATTCCGAGCTGCCAGCACTTCCGGACCTTGGACATCTGGGGTGGGTCGAATGGTGGGTGCGCATGGTGTCCGCACAGGCTCGCAGCTTGCATGAGTGAAGCCGAGTTGCAGTCCTGCAGGCCACGACCTCAGGCTTGCGGATGGGGCATGGCAAGTCTCGCTTCGCATGTTGCATCCATTACGCCACCGTCAAGCCACTCCCCAAGCTCCAGCTGCAATTGGGTGCACTGTAGCCGTGACTCTGCTTCGGATGCCTTGGGCAAGGAGCCAAACCGAATTGTCCTAACAAATTGCCAAACCTCCCAGCGCCTTCAGCTACATAGCTACATGGCCGTGAGTCAAAATCCCGTACCCCCAGTGAACATCCCAATCCCCACTAAAAATAGGTTCCCCAAAATGGTACCATTGGTCTTGACCCACAGCCACATTGCCCTCCCACTTACCTCGCCCAAGCTGCAACCTGTAGCTGTGCCCGCGCTTTGGCGGCAGCTGCCTCGGCGTCCTCCAAACGTTGGCGCCAGGCTTTGTTCATCGCAGCGCCTCGTGCCGTTGCTGCCCTCCACTCGTGCCAAGAGAGGAATTGGGTCAATGGCCCGTGGGAGCTGCGGGGTGCATGTTAGCGCATTGAAAAAAATCAACAAGCCGTCTTGCGACCTCCCTTTGGACCCACAATGTCTTCATGCTGATGAGCTTCTCTGTGCAATGGAGCTCTGATGCTCACGCTTGGCCAGAAGCTCCTGACAGGAACCCATGCTTTCACTGACCAACGGCTCTGGGAGTACGAGTGGCCTTCCGTGGCTTGCGCACCATACCTCCCCACGTCACCTCCTGGCTGCGATAAGCTTCCCCCAGCTCCCCCACCTTGCGGGCAGCCTCCTGGCAAAGCTTCGATTGAAGCACCACGCCAATGGCAAGTGCCAGGCGCGCCTCTTCAAGTTGGGAAGCCATTTGGGCCAGCTCCTCTTCGCCGGACGCCCTG